GGATGGAGGTTAAACCCCTTCTTAACCCAAAGAAGGCAATTTTTAAGTTGTAGTAGGAACTTAGTGGGCATTTGGCACACTTCGGTCAGGATATTAACTTTTTAGAAAAAAGTATTTTAACAAATTAAAGGCTTTAAAAAACAAGTGAAAGAGCGTGCATTTTTATCCACATTGGAGGAACGTGCATTTTTATCCACATTCCATTAGATTTCCAACTACGTAAACTACGTAAATAGTCTTTTGTTATGAAGCAAAATTTTGAATTATTATCAATTATAAACAACAAAAAACATAATTCACGTCATCTACACACCACCTTCCGATAAAAAACGTATTTCCAAGTCATCTACACACCGCCTTCCAATAAAAAACGTAATACCACGTCATCTACACACCGCCTTCCAATAAAAAACGTAATTCCACGTCATCTACACACCGCCTACCAATGATAAAAAAGCGTTTAGAAAACAAACTTTACTTTGTGGATGATCTGACTGAAAAGCGTTCATCTAAAAGGAGCTAAGTTCATTTTTTTCAAAACTTAGTTTTTTCAACATTAGGATTCTTTATTGAAATAGGTACAAATCTTCAGTTTTATCATGACTTTAATCGTGATTAAAAGCTGTTAAATCTTTAAGCACGATTATCGAAAATTTCTAACCAGGTTTAATAATACGATTACAAAAATCTTTAACCACAATAATCAAAAATTTCTTACCATGATTAAAAATTGTTTTAAGTGCTTAATCCTTGTAAACAAAACTTTAGTGATATTTTTAAATTCGAAGACATCAAATAACATGATTTTCTAGATCATACTAACAATCAATAGTTAAAGAGCTTGTTTTGGTTTTCTTAACATTTGATTGAAATATTTCAAATAATTCTCAAAAACAAATGCTGAAATGTTTTTTCATTGTTTCCAAATCTCTCTGCAGCAATTGAAAAGTGCACATCATGAACAACATTATTCTTATCTTAATGATCAGTTCTTACGTACCAAGAAAAGCTTTTAAATTTAAAGCAACAATTTTCTTTTAAACATAGAAGAAATAAAATCAAAAAAGAAATCACTTTACGTTGTAAAGAAGAAAGTTTTAGTAGTATTCTTCTAATACTTTATCAGCAACAGTGTTATCATCAATAGCAACAGTGTTAACATCCAAAGCAACAGTGTTATCATTAGTAGCAACAAATATAAAAAGAAAAATTTATATATATATACATATATAAATATATATATATATATATATATATATATATATATATATATATATATATATATATATATATATATATATATATATATATATATATATATATATATAATCAAAGTTTTCTTACTATAAACATATTTAAGAAAGAAAAAGATCTCGGTTTTCTTGCAAACTCATTTGGTATGTTAGAATGGTTACATTGCTAAAAAAAAACAGTAAGCAAAACATGTATATTCTTTATATGCTTTCTAGTTGAACAGCTATCTAATGTATTAAAGTTGACTCAAAATGTCGTCTTTTTTCCAAATCTTTACACATTTTCTTCTTTATGTCTTTTAACAACACCTAAACAAACTAAATGTACATAAATAAAATGCATTTAGTTTATTTATAAATATATAATATTATAGTAAAATATCATAATATAATATAAGTTAATGAAATAAAAATATTATAATAATTGTAACAATGTTACATTTATTGCTATATTTACAGCAATACATTACATTACTTTATTAACTCTCGTACATTACTTTATTCTCGTACATTGAGGATAGGTAGAAGCATATTCATCAAAGGGACTGGGATAATAATGACATTAGTTGTACTTCTTCCAGGATGAAAACCAAATTATTTGATAATAGTTTATCTTGTACATTCGAAATAGTATGTTTTGCAAGAATACATTCAAATAACATTTTGCAGATGTAAAAGCAATTAGTCTGTATTTTACTGATAATAAAATCAATAATATAAGAATAAGATATATGTTTGTTTACAAACTATACGTAGTGGTGTAGTGGTACAGCTTTTGCTTTATAAGCAAGAGTATTCGAATTCGACTCCCACCACGTCCCTGGTAGTACCGCGCTTAACTTGTTTCTCCGCGCAATGGCCTTGTTCGTCAAGGTTTGTGTTTCGGAGTTATAAAGTTGAGAGAGGGTTATAACCACAATTAAGTAGCCTCCTCATTTGTAGTGGCCTTGGGGAGTAGAATTACCATAAAAAGAAAAAAAAAAAGGTTAAAATTAAAAGTGACAAAACAAAAATATAGAGGAGAGGGGGGCACCTTTGAATACTTTTTACACTTTTTATTATAAATCAAAGAAAAATATATTTTAACAACTTTTTTTGTTTTGAAAAGTTAAAATAGTTATTAAGGAAAGAAATTACTTCATTTATATAATTTGTAAGTCAAAAATTAAGCCTGTATTCTCGTTCTAGCAAGCTGCGTGAAAATGTTCAAAATTGCCCCAACCTGGGGCAGTTTTGAATTTGCATAAGGCAGCTTTGAACCATCATTGTCAAACCAAAATAACTTCGATTAAGAATTTTTTTAAATTACTTGGTGTATTTTTAGACTATATTTATTTTGTTATACTTCACCTACATTCATATTAGATTTTAAATATATACTTATTAGCTTATTAGAAAAGAGACTAGATATTTCTCATTTGTTTGTTTCGTATTTCCGTGTTTAAGCGCTAACTTATGAATTGCTAATTTTTTCTCATAACGACGTGTCAAGTTAGCTCAGTGAGTTAGCGATCCGTCTTTTGATCTAGATGTTCGTTTTTTTACTTTCTAATTTTTTATTAAGTTAGCTTCATAATCTCAGTAATATTTTTTGTCACGTAAACGTTCATTAAGTGCACCACCACACCAGTCATTCTCTTTTGTCATATCGGTAGTTTAAAACGAAGATATCAGCAAAAGGTTCAACAAAGATTATGAAATGTTCTTAAATTATTAGTTAAAGACAAATTTGGTTAATCAGCATAATTAGTTTCGATCAAATTATTTTTCTTATCAGTTTTATTTTTGTTTTTAGAGTTTTGCTTAAGTTTTCGAAATATCTTGTTTTGAAATAAGAAACTTGTTAACTTATGCGCTCGTACGCTCTTTAAACAAAAATTCAAAGGTGCCCCGTAAATTTTTTTTCAAAACTGCCCCAACGGTGTTTTAGTAATTAAATGGCTATTTATGGAGACAAAATAATATTTTTTGATAAAATATTTTGCTTCAGTGTAAATAGAATAAAATATTCTACATAAAAAATAACATAAAGTTTACCACTTGTTAAAAATGTGAGATATACAGTGACATATAAAGTTTACCACTTGTTAGAAATGTGAGATATATCAGATATACATTTGATCTCTAATTGGAAATAGCATAGGGCTTGCAGTGTCTTGTAAACTTTAACTCCAACAAAACTCAGTTATTTACTGCAAACAATTACCGAAATATTTTCAACTTTTCTATATTGATGAATGACAACCCCGTTGCTGAGTCATCTACTTAACGTCTTCTTGGATTATTACTATTATTCTTATTTACTACTGACCTCTTATAGAAACCAAATATACAATCCATTGCAAAGATTTTTTTTTATTGTCCTTGCCGTTATCTTATTTCTGACTCCATTTTTTTTCTCTACAAATCTCTTATACATCCCTGTATGGAATACTGTAGTCATATTTTGGGAGATTCTTTTAATGATGCTCTTTCTTTTCTATACAAGGTCCAAAAATACATTTTAAACGTAGTTGGGTCTGCTTTATATGCTAGGCTTGAGCCTTTCTTGTTATCGTATGGCTACATCTCTTTCTCTTTTCTACAAATGCTATTATGATCATTGCTTAAAGGAGCTTTAGTTCTTTAGTTCCATCAACTGCAACCTTTTAAGTATTTTGTTTATTGTTTACTCGATCATTAACACTATCCTTTTCTTTTCTAGTAACTCCAAACTTAATATAAATAATAAATGGTTGCATGCAGCCTTGTTGGTCGTTTATTATTTAAAAAAAAGAAAAGTAAAATTGTTTTAAAATTTTGTTATAAAAGGGAAGTAAAATTATACAGGCACTTACAAAGAAAGTTGCATGATATCTGACATAATATCCGTCATAATATCCCGGCTGAAGTATTTAAGAAACCTTTTTTTTATTTAACATAAATAATAAAAAAATAAACTGTTTCAAAATTAACGCAGCGTCTACTTTAAGGATCCTTGTTTATTACAATGTGGTCAAACAATCCTTTTAAAAGAGTTTATCTTTTAAAAAATTCAAACCCAAACAGTCAAATTTCTTCAAGCAAATTAATAAAAAGAAATTATATAAATGTTCTGCTGCACCACACAGCCGTTTGTTTCTTTTTTTAATAGAGCATCAAAGTCTAATGTAAGTTTTGTGTAATTATGTTAGTCGCTGACCTAAGATTGCAAACAATATGATCTAACAAGCTCATGAAAATTATGTGTAATTTGTTTTCATCTTCATGTTCTTGAAACGCTTGATAATGATCTTTTTGTTCTTAAAAGTCATTATTGTCATAAAATTATATTAGCTGTGTTTGACTTGTTTGAAAAAAACCCTTTTTTTATATATATATATATATATTTCACCTCCCCAAGACCGAGAAGCCCACTACAGACGAGGAGGCTACTTAATTGTGGTTATAACCCTCTCTCAACTCTATAACTCCGAAACACGAACCTTGACGAACAAAGCCATTGCGCGGAGAAACAAGTTGAGCGCGGTACTACCAGGGACGTGGTGGGGATCGAACTCGGAACCTTACGCTTATGAAGCTCTGCCACTACACCACTACCGCATACCACTTAGTAGATTCAAAAAATCCTAATTGAAAGACTACGCTAATAAAACGGTAAGTGCTGTAAAATTTTTTTTTTTTAAATTGCTGTTTTTTTGTTTTGTATTTTTGTTTTAAATATATTTGTAAATCTTAATAATATTAAAAGGAGTTTACAACACCAGATTTATCTACTTCTCTGTTAATTAATAAAAGCATTAAACTTAATTAACAAATGAGATATAATCAGCACAGGTAGAAACACATTTTTTCACTGATGATTTCTTATTTTATAACTTTTAGTGTCATATTTAGAGAAAAAAAGTTTTAACAGGAATTACTTCATTAAGTAGTTTCAACCGTTGACTTCGTTAAGACCGTTGCAATTGTTAATTTCGTAAAGAAGTTGCAATCGTTAACTTTGTTAAGAAGCTGATTTTAACACACCACTAGTTGCTAAATGCTAAATATTTTAGATCTTTTGATAGTAATTAGTCTCAAAGGCTTTTTGAGTTTTTTTTTGTTAAATGATTGTTATTTAACTAAAAATGAATATATAGTTATAAGATTTATGTAATACTCAAAGTTGAACTAAAAATGCTCATCGTTTAGGTGTTATAGCAAACTTTACTTTAAACCCACACATATAAAGATGGGATACCCGGACCTTGTTGTGCTAAGCACAACATCTATTTGCTATCTATATGTTTATTTTTCTTTTAAAGCTGAAAGATTTTAATAAAACTTTGAACTAACTTTGAACTAGTCGACCAAACAACTTTCGCTTTTGACTTTTATACCTTAATGCTCTTCTTTACCGGTGGTCTGAAACAAAACTGTTAGGTCTTCTTGGGGCACCTAAAACAATATATATATATATATAAATATATATATATATATATATATATATATATATATATATATATATATATATATATATATATATATATATATATATATATATATATATATATATATATATACATATATATATATATTTAATCCAATAATAAATTTGACATGATTGAACCCCCTCGATATTGATTATTTTGTGCTGACCTCAAAGATCGATCTTTGGTTCCCTCATATCTTTTACTTGTATTAAAGTTATTAACAACTAAAAAAACTAAATTTTATTAGTTATTCAGACAATAAAAATTTATTATTTAATAGTAATATAAATTATTTACACACGACTGCTTGCGGACATCACAACCCCTGCGTTCGCCTCTAGACGAGCTCAAATTGTTTTAAATGAAAATAAAAGTAATTAAATATTCATATAAATAACTAAATATAACAAATAACAAACCTAACCAAACGTAAGCTGCGGAATTTTTTTTCAGAAATATTTAAATGTAGCAAAATCAAAAAAATCGTTAAAAAAAAAAAAAAAAAAAATTAAAATTTTGCGAATATTTATTTGAATATTTATTCGAATGTTTATAAAAAACTTTTTATTATTTTAAAATTTATAAGCTAAATTTATTTAGACTAGGTATTATATTTAAAATTTGCTATGAACTCTGGGTAAGAGCTGTATGAAAAGATTTGGGATTTTGTTGTCCTATATCTTAGTCCTATATCTTTGTCCTATATCTTTATCCTATATCCTATTTTATCCTATAAAAAAAAAATGTATTAACACTAAAAGAAAAAACAATCTTTTTAAAAATAATCTCAAAAAATTAGTCTGAAAATATCACTGAAAATCTATCATAAAATGTTATAAAAACTTTTTAATTTATTTTTTTATTAGTTTTACTAATTTATTATAAGTTATTTATAATGTTTTTATCAAGTTATTTCAATAAGTTTTTATAAAGTTTTAAACAACAATTAAATAATTTTAATTTATTATTCAAAACATCAATAGGTATAAAAACCATGCAAAAAAAACTTGTAAACTTTAAAAGTTTGAATTTAAGAACAAAAAAGAAAACGCAATATTTAAGACTGCATTTGAAGTAGTGTTCGGGTCGCAGGTTTAATCAAACTTTAAAATTAAAAAATTAAAAAACCTTGAAAAAAAAAGGAGAAAAAATCTAAGGAGAATAAACCTAGTCCTAGCACTCACAGTGACCTTCTGGGCACTAGTAGTGATAGTAAATTAATCGGTATTGTTAGATCTTATTTTTACGTATATTTTATTATTTTCTTTTAAAGATTGGATAAGAGCAGTTTTTATTAAAAAATGTATAAAATACGCGTTACCCAGTGAGCATGCGTCGTCTGGGGTGATGTTCTTACGGACGTCTGGACGTCCGTGAAACGTCTGACGGACGTCCCCCGGACGACGCGTGCCTGACTGGGTATTTAATATAGTATGTAAATAAAATAAAATAACGTTTATATAAAATTATATATATATATATATATATATATATATATATATATATATATATATATATATATATATATATATATATATATATACACACATTTATATAAATATATATATACCAATAAAAGTTAGATTTTGCATACCAATAGTAAAATCTAAATAATAACAAAACTTAATTTATTTGAAACGTAATTCAAAATTTAATGCAAGTTGGAGATCATCAGATGTTATATAACTTCTGATAGCAACTAAACAATCATCTGGTGTTACATAACATCTTATGATTGAAAGTTAGCGTTCATCAAATATTATATAACATCTGAATGTCGCTTACTTGCTTGAAATATATATATATATATATATATATATATATATATATATATATATATATATATATATATATATATATATATATATATATATATATATATATATATATATATATATATATATATATATATATATATATATATATATATATATATATATATATATATATATATATATATTGCGAGGTTAGAACTATTTTGTTCTATCTCCACATTTTTTTGTTTCGAGATAAAACGATTTAAAAAATAAAAACTTTAGGAGACGGCATATAAAAAGATTTTTATTACTTATGCTTTCTCCGAAACTTTTTTGATTTTAACTTAGGTTTTAATATAGTAGAAAAACAATATTTTTAGGTACATGACACAATTAATAACTCATTTTTTTCAAAAAGTGGAGATAGAACAAAATAATTCTAACCTCGCGATATATATATATATATATATATATATATATATATATATTATATATATATATATATATATATATATATATATATATATATATATATATATATATATATATATATATTAGATAAGTTATATAAAACACTAGTTATCGATTTGTTGAAAGTGAAAACAGTTATAAAATAAAATTACGATCAATATAAACAAGTTGCAAAACTATTTTTAAATAACAAATTAAACTTTTAAATTGTATACTATTTTTTCATAATATGATTTAAAATTAAAAAAAGTCATTACTTATTGTATTATATTTTGGGTATGTATATATACATATATAAAAGTGTCGTTAAGAACCCAGACCAACCTGGCAGCCCAGTTTAATAAAAGTTTAACTACCAACCTATGCTTGATTTTGTAGATGATGTTTTGAATCCAGATCGACTAAATACTAGTGAGGAGTGCGAATAAACTTTAACTTTGCGGAAGCATAGTATTTTAGCAAAAGCTTTGCGCCATTTTTGGTTTAAGACTACATACAAAACTGGATTGAACGCAGAGTTAGCGTAATGAAGTATTTTAAAGTACTTTACTAATATTTGACTTACTTTTATGTTTGCTAAATGCACCATGTTTAATGACATAAATGGCGTCCAAGTGATTATGAAACAACTTAAAATCAATGATAATGTTAAAGCTGCTTTAAACTCTCGTTTTAAATGACGTAACTTTGTATTGCTGTTTATCAAATGTTGGTTTGCTTTAGAATTTATAGAAGAACTAATGGATATAGAATCGCTTTTTGTTGCTACAACCTTAAAAAATTCAACTTCTAAAGAACTTGCTGGTTTTTCTTTTATTAGGCTTGCTTGGTCAGTCCTAAATCTTGTAATTGTTTTATCAAGTTTTTTTAGTTCTTTTGCGTGTCTTTTGGCGACGAATCCCATTGCAGTGTACGACAGAATCATAATAACTACAGGAATTACATAGGTTGCTAAAACCACAGAAAGTGTAAAACTTTTTTTATCAGAATTCATGCCAATAAGTGAATAACTCAACATCATAGACCAAGTACCAACAACTGAAAACGTGGCAGATTTTTTTGTTACCATTTTTTCATGAAAGTATGGTTTTGTAATGGCTAGAGCTCTATTGACAGCAACTAATGCTAATGAATATATCGACAGAATACTTGGAATCATATCACCTACGTAGTACAGATTTTTTTCATATTTGTTAAACACAAAGAGTAAAAATGACAGGGGTATTGAGAATAATGCAACCAGAAGATCGCTTGCTGATAAAGATAAAATAAACACATTCGTAACTGTTTGCAACGTGCGAAATTTGTAATAACAGATAAAAACTACGATATTCCCGAATGTTGCTACTACAGAAATTGCGAGAAAAAGAAATGAATCAACGATAAGAATTGTAATACTTGTAGACAAGATGTCTTCACTATCGTTACGATAAGAGTTGTTCATACTTATGAATTAAATAAGCTAAACAAAAAAATAAAAATATTAAAAAAACATTTACAAAATTTCAGCCCAAAATAATTTTTAAACCTTATTTACAAATTTGAATTATTGTATAAATAATGTTCATTTTTAATTTTCATGCAAACATTATTTTAATTTTAAATTGAGAAAAAAAGAAATTCACTATGAAAAATAAAAACATAAAAAAATACATCTTCCTTTTCAAAAAAATTTTTTATAAAATTTTCCTATTTCGTAAAAACGTTCATCCCAAAGCAGTGTTCATCCATCAATGTCCTTCATACCGTTAAAACGTTCATTCCTTTAAACCGATTATCCAATGAAATCAATTCCCCCATGCAATTGTTCCAACATGATCCAATAAAATTATTTATCCAATGAAATTGTACTTTCAATAAAACTTAAAAAAGTTCAAAACAAGTTTTTTTTTTTTTTCCATCAATTGAAAACCTAAATCTCCTGAATCTGTTTTCTGAATTATATTAAGCTATTGGTATGTTTAAGATCTTATGATAAGGAGGAAAAAAAGAGATAATAGTATCTTCACATACCATCGAAGATAATTGTTTTTTAGTTTTAGATTTAAAACTAATTTTCGTGCTTTATTTGCATTTTAATAAAAGTTGATTCGTCAATAAAACTAAGAAATTTGATTGGCTTTTAGCCATTCAAAATGCAATTGTTCCATACGTATAAAAATGAACACAACTGTTTAAAGAAGCCTGAAATAGGTTTATTCATTTGACATTTATTATTCGAAACATTTTTTCAAACGGAAAAAGCGGAGGATTTTCTTTAACGACACTCCTTTGTTATAAATAAGTTATGGCTCATAACATTTAAGTTATTATAATAATATAAATGATTCTATGTTTGGAGTATTAGCTTAGATAAATACGGTTAGCCATAACTATTATTATTTTTAAATCTAATTTTCTTTTTTTTTTAACATTAAGTTTAACGTAGTTATATAATTAATACCATCTGCTATCGCCAAAAAATTCTTAAACTGATAGTGTCAAGATAGACATTCTTCAAAATGAAACTTGTCTACTTTTGGATAAAACTCATTATCTGGAGTATAATCCATTTTAATTTCAAGTTAATTGTTATATATATATATATATATATATATATATATATATATATATATATATATATATATATATATATATATATATATATATATATATATATATATATATATCAATTTTAATTATCTAATTGTTTATATCTTTGAATATAAATTTATATAAAATATTATAAATAATACTTTTGAATCATTATATTCATCATCATCATCATCGCCGTCATCGTCATCATCATCATCATGATTGTCTAATATTATTCTTAAATCATTTAAAGAAACTTTAGGGGCAACAGCAGACAAGCAAGTATGCCGTTTGCTGGAGTTGGTACCATTATTTGCAAGCATTTTTTATAGTTAACAATTATTATTTTACATACACTTATCATAAATTTAAAAATGTCAAGTCTTTAACTCAGACCCAGACCAACAAGAAACGTGTGGTGGGAGAGATACATTTTACAGTTTCTCAACATTTTTTAAAACTTTCAATTTTTAAGAATCGAATTTCCAATATTTAAAAATTATGAAAAATTATGAAATTATTATTTTTAAAAATATAAAGTGTTTCTAAATATTTTATATAAAAAAAAAGTTCAGGATGTCTATAAATAGGATGTCTGTTAACATCGGAAGTATCAAAACTAAAAAGCTCAGATTCAAAAATAACCTGAGTTTTAAAAACAACTTTTCGATGAATCAGAAATCTTTTAAAATTCACATTTTAATGTTAATTAAAACTTTAAAAATATTTTAAATAGACATTTTAAATAACATTAGGATAAATATGACTTACTAAATTATTGAAAAAATTGCGTAAAATCGTGTATTGTTAATACAAAGTTAAATGTTTAATATCGAATTTGTATAATGTTAATGTCAATATTCGTGTAAACTTAAATAATAAACTTCATACTTTGGTTCTTAATGAATTAAAAGTGTATTATTTATTATATATATATATATATATATATATATATATATATATATATATATATATATATATATATATATATATATATATATATATATATATATATATATATATATATATATATATATATATGTATATATATATATGCATATATATATATATGTTCTACTGCTTACACAATGTTCTACTGCTTTTAAGGATTGTTGCTTTACTAAAGATCAATCTTGTTTCCTGAATATATATATATATATATATATATATATATATATATATATATATATATATATATATATATATATATATATATACATATATATATATATATATATATATATATATATATATATATATATATATATATATATATATATATATATATATATATATATATATATATATATATATATATATATATATATATATATATATATATTCAGGAAACAAGATTGATCTTTAGTAAAGCAACAATGCTAATTTTTGTATTTATAGTTGCAGGTGGAAGACATTGTTAAATCCATAAAAGTAAATACTTTCCTAAATTAGTACATAAAAAAACAATTTTCTAGACCATAGCTAGGTTAGCAACTCTAAAAAAAAATTTTATGACCCACCCTAATATATATATATATATATATATATATATATATATATATATATATATATATATATATATATATATATATATATATATATATATATATATATATATATATATATGAAGTCATTTTGAAAATGAGGCAGTTCTGCCCCATTTTCAAAATGACTTCATATTCCACCTTAAGTATGTTGATATAGTCATCAGCGTTCATTATTCCATTAATTTTCCACGAGCACAGAAACATCCCAAAATTAAGAGTTTTCATCCGCCATATTTAACGGTTGGTGTAAAATGGTGAATTAGGATTTATCCAATTATATCTTATACCATCTGATCCAAACATGTTAATTTTAGTTTTATCTGTCTAAGCCAGTCTAATCATCCGTAAAAGCCATCACAAGTTTTGTTTGCATAAAGTTCATCATAATTTAAAAGAGTTTGGCGGTAACAAGATACCAACAAAAACTTTTTCTTTTTTCTGAATTGAAAATTAATTGAGCCAAACTGAAGTCTCATTTATCCAAACTGAAGTCTCATAGACTCTTTTGAAGACTCCCATTAGACTCTTTAGTCTCTCCAGAAGAAATTTAACGTTCTTTTGTTCTATTGGTGTAAAAATTTTCTTTCGACCATTTTTAGCCTTATTTACTTGTAAATCATTACGTAATTTGGGTTTACATGTGAGATTGTGAGACCTTCTAAACTCAGCAATGATTTCACCATAAGATTTTCCAGATTCAAGTCTTTCCACAATATTTTTTTCTAGTTCAAGATATTTTCTTCATCATGATATAAACAATTTTTTTTTATATTTTGTAAACAAAGTCTAACTTTAAATTATGTTTAATCATTAATAACTTTCGGAAAGTTGATAACACAGTCATATTAGTCATGAGGCTATTAATTTATGCTGTATGCATAATTAACTGTGAACAATTACGTCAATTGCTTGTGAATTGCATGTGAAGAGCTAATGGCAACAATTACAAAGTTGTCACCATTAGTTCTTCACAGAAAAATTAAACAAAAAAAATTCAATATCTTCTAAATTTAATAAAAAGCAAAATTTTCAGTTAGTCTTAAATCTATTTAATGTTATTAAAGTTTCATTTTTCTTCGCGGCTTTTCTATTTAAAAAAAATCAAAATGCTTCTTTTTTAAAACATAGTGACAATTTTGTCACATAATGTAAATCTATTCATCATTTAGTTGATAAATGGAAGCTTAAACAGTGTGTTGAGGCTTTCTCATTTTCCTCGACTACAAAGATAAAATAATTTGATTTATTACCATTTTAGATTAAGATCTACAATTGTATTAATTCAAATTATTTGATCATAAAAAAAAAAGGAACCAATTTATTTTTTAGTTAAAATTTGAAAAAAAGTACAGTAAAATATTAATCAGTAAATAAACAGTAAAATATTATTCAGTAAGTTAAACAACAGTGATTACCAACATATTTGCATTTTCGGCACTTTTATGACAAGCTCTGTGTGCCCCGTTAACACAGTCTTCAACGGTACTGCAGGTTGTTAGTTACCTTAAACGATTTCTTAAAATATTGCACACATGCTACTGTTTAATATAATTTCTCCACAAATATTTAAATAATATTTAACATTATTATCACTTTAACACTGTTATTGCTTCTTTATGATTGCTAACTGGGATAGCTTCAATTTTAGCCTCATTATTAACTATTAAATTTTTTTTTTTAGATTTTTATTTATAAATGGTTTTAATTTTTTTTTTAGATTTTAAGTAGGATTGAATAGGGCTTACAATTTGTATTGACTTTATCGTTGAGCTTTAGTATAATCAATGGTGATTCATCGAGTACACTATTCAAAATGAACAGACTACCCACATAGTTACAACAATCAGTACATCAGATAGTTTCTATTCTACTGTTATCTATAATGCTATTATTATTCATAGTTAATCTCAAAGTAAAAATATTGTGCGAATGGAAGTACTACAATATTAAAAAAACAGTTATTTTCTAAATTAACCAAAATTACCAAATACTAATGTATTAATTCAAATAAAGCTAATCTTAACATACTTTAATTATAGATAAATGAAATTTTAAAACTTGCTATCTTGATACTAGGTGTTGTTATTTTTTTACGTCATCTAAATTTGTGAAAAAAAAAAAGAAATAATTGAAAAATTTTTAATTCAAGGATAACCAAACTACTCAACGGAAAAAAAATACAAACTTCGCAAAAAAAAAAAAAAAAAACGCTCTCAGAAAACTAAAGTCTCTTGAATGGAATAAAAAAACTCTGTACTATCTACCTCTATTGTACTTTCTACCTCTATTGTACTATCTACCTCTATTGTACTATCTACCTCTATTGGAGGCATTTTACTCTTACTATTTTACTTTTTTCTTGCGTGTAAAAATA